ATGGTAACTGTGTGCATGTCTTAAGTAGACACGGGAATGGGATGCTATAGTGAAGGGACAGTGCTTGGCACAGTGCCAGGCTTAGAGTCACCGAGGCTCAAGAAAATGGAGCTATTGTCACCACCTGGAAGAAAATAACTTTCTTCTTCCACACACCATGCTTTCAGGACATTTTTGGGGTATTGATTTATTTGTATATTTGTCTCCTTTCTCTCTACCATAAAGCTCCTCTGAGACTGTGACAGCATTTGGTTCATTTCTGAGTCTTTAGCATCTAGCACGTGGTCTGAGTCATAGAAAATACTCCTGAAAGGTATGTGCAAATTGAATATAGTTATATTCATACAGATACACATATATGTGTTCACATGCACATGTACATGTCTATATATGCATGTCTGTATGTGTATATATTTTCCTATAATATATATGTTATTATCTTTGTGCAACCATGTCAGTCTCAAGAATCCATAGGCCCCCCAATATCAGATGATGATTGTACCCAAAGATATTACAGAAAACCTAGAAGACTAACACAGAAACACCAAGCACCTGGCAAAGAAACGTCACTAAAATTGTGGCTCTATCATTCCCTGTTTTGACTTGTTCATACCTTTATTCATTCAACAAAGATTCAATGAGCAACTCTCATAAGCCATGTATCCTGGGTGCTTAGGACCATGTACAAAGGAGGATGAAAGCAAATAGCCTTTGTTCTCTATATGCTCACGATCTAGAAAGACAATAGGGAAGTAAGGAGATCATTCCGTGACAGTATGGTTACCATTTGGAAAGAAAGATGAGAGTAGAGACAGGAAGGAGTTGTCAAGGAAGGCCTCTGGCAGTTGTGCCTAATGGAAACCTAAAGGGTGAGTAGGAGTAAATAGGGCAGCAGGGAAGGGTGTCCTGAGCATAAAAAGAACCAAAGATTCTACAAAGTGTGCATAGCTCGGAATGCCTATAATATACAATGTCATAATAATAATGGAGAAAGCTGCAGGGACTGCCAGGGACCAACTCATGAAGGGCATTAAATGAGACTGAGTTGTTTTCTAGAAAATAATTGGGAGCCTTTGAGGCATGTTAAGTAAAGACATTACACAGACCTACTTGTATTTTATAAATATCCCTCTGTGCACTTTCCAATAGCAAAAAGAATATACAAATATACAAATAAATAAAGACCCCAAAAATGTTCTGAAATCACAGTGCATGGAGGAAGTAGCACATCCCTTTGTTTAAATGAAATGGACCGACCTATAATCTAATTTCCTGGGTCCCACTCTCACCGGCCACTTTGCTAGCATCTCTGCTCAAAGGGGCCTGAGAGGTCCCCTCATTTCTGTGGATGCAGCTCAGAGCAGATCCTTTTAAATGGCTTCCTTTTAAATACTTCCCAATTTAGAGAGCAGAGAGGATGTCTAGTCTGGGAATATGAGAAAAATTCTAACTGGTTCAGGACCTTTTCTCATAACGATTAGAAAACTAAGCCCTTTCTAAATCAGAGATCATTCTTGAGCTTCTAATACTATTTGAATTACAACTCCCAAATCTTGAACGATGTAACAGACTAAAGTCCAAATGCTTTTTTAATTCTGCACTCACATGCAAGTTACTTAACATGACAGAAGGCCTTACAGACTGGCCTGGTAACAAAATCTTAAGAGGTGTTGCTTCTACTGAAATGCTCACCATTCCTTGATCCTCTATAAAATAAACAAGTTGGTTTGTTATGTTTCCTATCCAGGGAATCTCAAACAAATTGAAAGTGGTGCATCGAGTCTATAGTGTACTCCAATCTCATGACCCACCAGGTTAGTTCCTTCCAATAACCCCAGTAATGAGACCATGCAGACTATCAGGCCCTGCCTTTAACAGTCTGGAGCCAGCAGGCTATCAGCTGACTATTCCTGAAACAAATTGTGCAAGATAAGGAGAGTGAGTAGAGTAAAATGTTTTGGCTAGATTTATTCAGTCACTATCTAGTGGTAACTTAAGGCAATTTTCTTAACCACACAGATATGAAAAGCTGCTTGCTTCTGGAATAATAGATAACAGAGCAAAAGACAGTGATATTTGGGGTAATCCCCATCTACATGTACTCGAAAAGTCATTTCCATTCCATCAGGCAAGTATTCAGAAAATTAAATACATAGCAGATCCATTATTACAAATGCAACAAATATTAAGTGCTCGATGCCTTCAAAATAGAAATCCTGTAAAGAATCAAGGAACTGTACCTCTTAGTGTTCAGGGCTCTGCAGACACTAGTTTCCTTTTGACCCTCACAGAAGCTTGCGTGTCTGTTTCCATTTCACGAATGGGCAAACAGGCTCAGAGCCGTGAATAACATTGGCTTATGCCCATAAAACTGGTTTCAGTTTGCTGACTGAAAATGGTAGCTGCAATGTGAACACTGCCCTGTCTGAAACAAATCCTGATCTTCCTATATTCCAGTTCCCCAGCTGTGGGCCTTCTTCTGGGAAGAGGGACTGGGACTAAGGGTAGGAAGTAGAAATAGGGTGAAATGCTATTGGTGCATGCCAGGGGAGAAGTCATGATGGGGCCCTCCACGAGTAGATAATTCAGAAATTCCTGAAGCTGCACTATGTACTGATTTCCTTGGGGGATAGGGGTGACCCCTCCACTGGAAAAGTTAATGTAGAAGTTTTGCTTTTCCCATTTAATGGATTAGCTCATCTGAGATTCAGAGCGTGTGATCAAGATTCAAGAGAAACCAATGATTTTCCCAAATACACCCCCAAATTTATTCAAGGAAGCTCACTGCTCAACCCCCCTCCCTACTGTCAGTCACTAATAAGACCAGTGTACACATCTCATTAGGAAGGACCACTTCTTAGATAAAAGGGGGGGAATATCTCTTTTAAATTGTCTCTGATTTGGTAAAGTGTTTCGCATACATTTGGTATTATTAAGATTCATCAACACAGTTAAAAATAAAATGAAAGTCATACTATAATTTTCCTTTTATACTTACAAATTAACCCAGCTGAAAGTTTCTTTCAGTAAAGTTAACATTTCATAAGATGTTTTAATCAATCCTATATACCAGGAATTCAGAGTATATTCTCATTTTCAAAGTATTGAATTGTAAAATTATTTAATATCATATCTAACATATTACTTACTTTTCACTCTTTTGCCAGTGGGAAAATATAGTAAAGGAAGGCTTTTGTGTCATGTATCCTCAGTTTGACAGTAACAATTCTGCCTGAGCCTTCTAGCTTATGTTGCTGAGCTTCCGATTTAAGGATGAAATTAAACTTTAAAAAGTAAAGATATCCAAAAATGTATGAAGCCAAAAGAAAAACCATCATGCTTTATAGATACTCATTGTAGATATGTTCATTACATGTCAAAGCCTGGAGAAGGCAAATATGGAATTTAAAAAGACACCATCTGCTCTGTGATAAACTTAACCCTTAATTTCTACATCACCTGCTGCTGAGACCCTCTCCTCCCCCAGGATGAAAAAATGCCAAGCGTATTAATAACTAAGTAGTAATTTTAGCAGGACCTAAGAATATGCCCTGTTTGACAATTTAAAAATCAAAGACTCACAACATGTATAATTTCCCCAGGAAAAAAAATATCTGTTATAATTTACATTTAAAGTGAATACCACACATACACTGGTTTCTATCAACTAGGATCTCATAACAACCCTGGAGCAGACCACAATCCTTCCTGACACTTCTACTTTATTTACTTTGGAATAAAAGGCCAATTTTTTAAAAGCTTTGAAGTCTGACAATTTAAAAGCAGAGTAATTCCTCAAGTTAAAAAAGCTTTCTTCAAAAAAAATTAGGGCAGAAGGAGAAGAGAGTATACATCCCAAATCAGAAAAAAAAAATCTGCTTAAATAACATGTGACATACACAGGAGAAATTTCCACATTTTAAAAAAAAGCAATATATACTTGAAAATGCTCTTATTTTCTTATTTGTACACCTGAGATATTCCAGTTTTAAAAATACACTTAACAAATGCAACACAACTCATTCAAAGTTGATTTGAGTTCACAAAATAATTTTATTATATGTAAGAAAGCATACAGGCAGAAAAATTAAGAAAACATTCACAATACATGTATAACACAGACCTGATCCAAAAAATATTCTTCAGCAGATTTTTGTTCTTTTTATCAATTTCATCTACATTTTAAGTCAATTGCTTATCAAGAATACTACCTCATAAACATTTAACAAAAAAAAAAAAGAAAAGAAAAAGCTCTGTTGAAATACCCCACATGAATTAGTATCTGGCAAGGGAGGCTGATGGTACTTTTTACAGTCCATGCTATGATGTGGGAACCTGATTCCAAAGCACAGAGAAAAAGACAGCATTTGTCAGAGAGATACTGATAGCTTTGAGGTGTTTAACACACCTGAAAAGAATGGGGTCTCTCATTCTTTCTATCAACAAAGATACTGAATCTTCTTTGAGGATAATGAGGCACTATTTATTAATTAGCATACTATTAACATTTAAAGATCATTTTTTAAAAATCAGTTATAAGTTCAGGTTAAAGCACTACAAATTTAGCCCCAGTGAGTGGCTTGGTTTGATCTGGGAAGACAAGGACACAGGGCTTGAGCTTTGTCCATCAGTGGGGCTACTGTGGCCCCAGAATTAAGGAAACTCATGGTCCTCACTACGTATCTCGGTCCAGGACAGCCATTTATTTGGTTCAGAAAAGCTATCTGAAGCATGGAATGAGAAAAGACTGAAAAGGCCAATTATTTTACATAAATACAAAGTGCCATATACTTTTCCTTACCCCCAAAGATCATAAATGCAAAGTTGTGTTCTTCTTAAACTGGCTTTTATATAAGATATTTACAGAACTGAAAATTCTCCTGGGAAAAGACTTTGCCATTTAAAAAATTTAGAACACAATAGTAGCTATGCTTTTATTTTAATTTTTCAGAGTCTTTGCGGGGGGAGCATCCACAGCATTTGGCAATTCTCACCTTGTATTTATTTATGCTAGTGTGTTTTAAGAAATCACCACAACTTCATTTCCTATCAGCCTTTTCTGTGTTTCTAGAAGCTACTCATGAACATTTAGAATCAGAGTCTGTGTGTTTGTTTCATTGGCTTATAAAGTGCTAGTTCAATGGGCAGCTCAATCTTAGATGAGTCATTGTTTGTCCTATTAAATATGATAAATATAGATTTATTATGATAAATTTTAAATATACATATAATACAATAAATAAATAAAATCAATATCAACAAAGCATCTCTCAATTCTGAAAAAACTCCCATTCCTACCGTAAGGCTCATTTTTTTAGAAATAATTTATGAAGGCATGCACCTACCTTGACAATCTGAAAACTTTGCTTGGAACAGTTTTAGCACCTGTTTGTATACAGCAAATGCAACCCTTCTCACTTGCTTTCCAGAAAGGTTTGATTTTTAAGTGCAGTTGTTCGTATGTCATAAGACAAGTTTCAGAACTGATTTTGGAGTCTAAGACATGTCCCTTTTGGTTTCCCATATGTACCTGTTTGATGGACGATGGAGTACAGAAGATATACTGGAATGTATTTGAAAATATACTTAGTTGTCTGCTTGAAAGCAGCAAAGGTCTCTCCTGACATCACAGTGTCTCACCAGACCTTGATTTCTAAGAGCATGCCCCAGATTTCTCTCCTTTAGATTCTGTGTGGCAGGATTCCTCTAGGAGTTCAGGTTGGGTGCTGCCCATTGTGTGTGATGGGCTGGATCTTCTCCAGAGAGACATCGGTGTCATAATCCAATATGACTGATAGGGCCGGGGACAGCTTCTCCAGGGGTTTGGCTATTCCACCTGCCTCCTCCTTTTTCAGGTCCTCAGAAGAGCCTACTGCATGTGGGATCAGGTAAACCAGATTGCACTCCTTAGAGATGGAACCTCGTGGCTCATGATGGCTGGAAAACACCACAGCCCCGTTGTTATTGATGCTGACTGTCTCTATGGCATTATTCGTTGTAGGGCAAAGTCTGTAGCATCCTAAGAGAGTTGAAAATGCCTTCTGAAAATCAGCATTAAAGGCATAAATGATGGGATTCAAGGAAGAATTAGCCCACCCAAACCACACAAACACATCAAAGGTGATGGAATCAATGCAGAAAGGCTGAGTCTCCCCAGACTCACAGAACGGCACCATACAGTTCGAGATGAAGAAAGGGAGCCAGCAGCACACAAACACCCCCATGATCACAGACAGAGTCTTCAAAACTTTAGTCTCTCTTTTGAAGGACATCTTAAAGGAGCTCTCTGACTGAGAACATTCAACGGGGTTCCCGTTACCTGGGGTGGTCTGGCAATTCTTGGCATGCACGGCCGCCCTCTCCAAGGCTGAGATGCGCCGTATTTGTTTCTGGGCAATCCTGTAGATACTGGTGTAGGTGACAATCATGATGGCCACTGGAATGTAAAAGCTTATTAGGGAAGATGAAATGGCATAGGTCCTGCTCAATCTGGTGTCACAGTTGTCTGTGGTCTCTTCCAGGAAAGTAGCATTCCCATCGGAGGGACTTGTGGGTTTTGCCTTGTGCCAGCTGAGCTGCACAGGGATGAAGGAGATGAGAACAGACAAAGTCCATGCTACACTGATCAGAATAAAGGCTGCCTTGGGGGTCATCTTCCTCTCATACTGGAAGGGGCTGGAGATGGCCCAATACCTGTCCACACTGATCACACAGAGGTTGAGGATGGACGCGGTGGAGCACATGATGTCAAAGGCTACCCAAATGTTACAGAAGGACCCGAAGGGCCAGAAGCCAGCAATCTCAGCCACAGCTTTCCAGGGCATGACCAAGACAGCCACCAAGAGATCTGACACAGCTAAGGAAATGACAAAGAAGTTGGTCACCTTAGACCGCAGGTGTCGGAACCTGATGACAGCAGCACAGACCAGGGTATTGCCCAGCAGAGTGGACAGGATAAGCAGTGACAGGAAACAGGCTGTAAGGATGCGGAAGGAGAAGTCCCTCTCTACGACCAGACCGGCCTCATCCATGCTGGAAGCATTCAGAGTCATCTTCCGGAAGGAATGTACATCAGGGCTTGATGCCCCTCAAGCGGGAATCAGGGAGAAGAGGTCAGTCCGACTTCCAGGAGTCCTCACGGGCAGCCCAGGCCCAGACCCCGGTGCTCCCCAGGGTGGAGGGCCTCACCAGCATCCCATCCGAGGGTGGCAGACGTGTGTGGCAGGAGCTTTCCCTGTGCAAGGTCTCTCTTGCTCTCTACAGCTCTCTTCACTCCCTTTCTCCGGGTCACTGTCACTGACACCAGCTCATCCCCAGATTCCGTCAAGGAAAGCACCGGCTTTTTAGTGTATTCAGTCATCAACTAGAGACACCCAGGCCTCCCCCTTGCCAGTCAATCGCAGTCACATTTCAGGGTCGTTGCCTCTGGGGTGATGACAGGGAATTTTTCCCCTTCTGAGACGCAGCTGAAAATACATGTCTTGCTCCTCCAAGCCCCTGACTCTTCAGTTCTCTCAACGCCCTAAAAAGCAAAGGAAAAACACACGGTCTTTCGCCAAGATTTGAATAGATCGTAGCTTTACTCAGTCCAGCCACTTGCTGGGCACGACCGACAAGGCCACCTACCTCTCCTTGGGCTGTCTCAGAAAGTGGACTTCTACAGGCGCCGGTTCCGCGCTGCTCGGGAAAGCGCGCCGCCCGCAGAGCCTCGCTTGCTCCCGGGCGCAAACTCGCCAGAGCGGGTTTGGGATAGAAATCTCGGGTCAGGTCTCCAGAGAAGCAGCGCCGCCCAGCAGCTTAATTGTTAAGGATTGTTCGAAACGGACAGGACCCAGGAAAAGGGCCCCAGTCTCTCGGAGCTCCTTAGAGAGGGCACCCCCGGGACTAGTCACTTGGGCAGCTTGGGTTCCTCCTCCTGGAGCTGCGCGCCTGGGCTCCTTTCGCCCCCTCAGGCAGGGCACAGAGCCTCCCTACAGCACTGTCCGCTCCCTCGGGAGCCTGTGGGAAGGCGAGGCAGAGAGCTAAACTGGCACGGCCAGCAGGGTTCCCGCGGGCACAGCCCACCGCCCTCGAGTCCTCTCCCCTCCCCTAGGGGTGGATTGGGCTTGATAGGCAGAGTTGTAGGCGACAGCCACACCTGGTTCCCCCGATGGGCGGGCAGAGGTGGGGGCGCGGGTGAGCGCTTGCCCTCGGGGCCACCTCGCCTGTCCCCGGGCTCCTGGACAGCACCAGCGGGCAGCAGGGCTAGCGAGACAAATCCCGATGAAGAAACCTCAAGTAAACTGCCCGTGCACAAAACTCCGCCCTCCATCAGGCGCTTCCCGGGATCAACCCTACGCCCTCCCGAAGCCCAAGGTCAGAGGCGACCCTCTCCACTCCCACGCTCGGCAAGCAGCGGGACAGCGGCCCCGCGTCCTACCCTCGCCGTCTCCAAGTGTCCTCCAACTAGGGTCAGTCGTGCCCAGCGGCGCCCGTACTCACGTTCTCGTCTCTGCACCCAGCAGGCGCCCACTTCGCGCTCCGCCCGAGTCCCGAGCAGTGGTCAGCACCGGACTGCCTCTGGAGCCCCGCGCCCGGAGAGGTCCCAGCCCGAGCGCATTCGCTCCGCGGGATCGGAGCGCCCTCTGCCGGCGCCTGCAGCTTCTGGAGTCTCGGCTGTGCCCCGGCAAGTACAGAGGCTCTCTACAAAGACTCAGGCATCAACAAAGCACCGGCTCTCTGGCCACCCTTCCCGTCCATGACTGCCAGAATCTGGGGAACTGGAGCCCCGCGCCCGGAGAGGTCCCAGCCCGAGCGCATTCGCTCCGCGGGATCGGAGCGCCCTCTGCCGGCGCCTGCAGCTTCTGGAGTCTCGGCTGTGCCCCGGCAAGTACAGAGGCTCTCTACAAAGACTCAGGCATCAACAAAGCACCGGCTCTCTGGCCACCCTTCCCGTCCATGACTGCCAGAATCTGGGGAAGGCAAAGCGGCATCTTCCTCCTTCAGCGCCCTGACTGAAATATCCCTAAAACCTGAGTTTTCGCTCGCAAGCCCTTAAGAGAACCACTGCTCTTCCTGCGTGCCCACGGAGTGCCAAGCGCTGGGGCATCGAGATAAGCGAGACACAATCTGTGCTCTCAGAGCATGCAGAGACCCGGTGTTTCCTGAGCAGCAGCTGTGTCCCAGCACAGACCTGATGACATTCAACCCCTGGTGACAAGGCTTCCTCCTAGGCCTGTTCGTCTGCCCTTCACGTGTGGGGGAAATGAGGCTCGGAAAGGTGTGGCACCTGCTCAGTCACACCGCCAATGAGGGACCGAGCTGGCTGCTGCTTGCGTGTTCTTTCAACGTAACCACATCCAGAACCAGAGTCCACACACTAATTACCTGCCGGACTGACAAAGAGAGAAGAGCGAGATGCCCACGTTCTCCTCAGGTGCCCCAAGGAATGATACGGGGCAGACTTTGCACTACTTGTGCAGACATGGCGACAACATGGCACCGTCCTGAGGCTGCATGAAAGTGGAAAGAGGATAAGCATGGGGCACGGAAGTCTCACTGCCTGGATTCTGTCCCTATCAATGGCATAACAGGATTGTTACATGAAACGAGCTGCTGGCTGCAGAAAGTTGGCACCAAACCTAAAACCTGATAACAAACCCCACCTCATCCCACTCCTGCTTGTAGAACACACAGGGAACATTTTTTAAACAATAGTCTCATCTCCATGAGAACCACGCACCACACTGGGTGCTAGAATTTTCTGTATAAAACCCCTGAATCTAAATAACAATTCTCACTAATTAACCCATACAGACTACGTTTTGGTATTAAATGAAAGGACTACATGCTTAGCACAGACCTCCTCCCCACCCTTCCTGTTCTGTTCTGCAGCAGCCTCATTGTGACACAATGGGGCCCCGGTCCAAATATCAGACACAATTTTTGCCACATGCATGCCCCACAAATCATATTCCTTGAGCCGTGTGTCATGTAACACTTCCAGTTCATTTTCTCTAAGATAATCACTCTCCAAATTTCTTGATACTTTATTTCATCTTTCTTTCTTTTTCACTGATAGACAAAAATTAAAGGATGTTTCCAGTTCAAGACAATCGTGTGAGCCTGAAGGTATAACTCACCTTCTGGACCATTCCATCCTGAAATATTTCCACTTCAGTAACTCAAAAATAAAAAAAAAAAGGTAAAGGATTCAGCACCTTGGAAAGCGGAAAACCTTGAGATGCTTTTCTGTAAGATCTACAGGGCAGGTGGACAGAAGGAGGGAACACTCACTCCCTGAGATATTCTATATGGGGAGGCAAAATATGTCTCAGGCACTGAGGAAGAAATCCCAGAAGAACATGCTAATTCCTCTGAGCTCAAGGCAGTAGGGGCTGAAGGAGAAGATGAGGCCAATCTGAGAGGTTAAATTTCTGTCTGATAGCCCTTGAGACTTTGCTGGCAGAGCCAACAACCCTGGCAATACCCACTGCCCCTTAAATTATAACAAGGACAATCAAAATAAAACATGTGAGTCTCGGGTGATATCACACTCTGCAACACCAGCTCAGCAGTCAAAAATATTTGACCTAAGAGTAACCAAAACCTTATTGGGAGACAACGCCATTCGTAAGCCATTTCACGTTTTCATTTCTTTCAAGCTGGGTGGCTGGTCACAAAATTTCTCTTTCACTTTAAAAAAAATCCTCTAAATCTTTTCAAACTAGCTTATGCCAGCTTTCATCTTTTCTTCTCCATTCACTCAATGGACAGGTCCAGTCAACCAAATCAATACATATCACTATTGCAGTTGCTAAGAGCTATGACTCCACCACAAGTTAATTTCTGCCATTTTCCATGTTAACACAACAAATATCCTGCTTACTTACAGCATACAAAAAGGCCTAGAAATAGAAGGAAGGAAGAGCCAGTGAATATCCAACGGTGTAATTTTGTTTGTCATCACCAGGAAGACACAAGCTTTACACTACTTCTTTATGATTCTATAATTTAAAGATAGAGACCAATTATAGACATTCTATAATTTAAAGATAATTTAAAGGAAGGTCCCTTTCTACCAGACTTAGTTGCTGGCCTTTGAGTATACTTGCTAAGGGAACAGGAAAGAGTGTAATGCCACACAAATTTCAGGGTTGAACTTCACACAGAGTGTGAATTTCAGAGGACCTTGGAGGTTGGCTAGAGATTGGTGGGAGGAAGGTTCTGATTTTTCTCTGTTGAAGGGATGGTGAAACAAAACCTTCCATTTTGTTCTATAAAAATCTCCCCTAAACATCAAGAACACGAATATCAATACAAGCAGGTATTAGCATTAGATCACACTGGGAATGTAGAGTCAAACACAAAAGCACTTTTGTTTCCCAAATTGGCATGTCTTTTAAGTTCCACTGTGATTTATGCATGGCCAGGAGGGGGAGTTTTAAATCATGCTTTTCAACAAATTTTTATTTGGGGTTTGTTAAAGTCAATGAATACTGAGTGCACACCATCAAGGGGGGAGCTTAATCTCATAAAAGAATAAATAAAACAACTGAACTGTCAAGCATATCAAATGATATGTGTGGGAGGCTTGAAGATTATTAAAGCTGATTTTAGACTCAAATGACTATATAAGATGTAAGTAAAGGGAGATAAAGCTTGGCTGACCCATCTGGTGTGAACAAACTATAATAGTACATAAGATCCTAATGAGATAATTGACAATGTGAAATAGGAAGAAAAGGGCTAAAGGCATAGGGAAAATGGGAAGGGTAGGGAAAAGGGAATAAGGGAAAGGAAAAAAATATGAGAAAATGAAAAAAATGGAAATAAAATGTTTGCAAATGGAGAGGGGAGGATGGGGGTGAAGGGAGGGCAGGGACAAGGGGAAAAAATGAGAACCAAGACCTGTCATGTAAAGGTACAAGATCCCAATAATGAGTGTAACTGTACTGTATACCTAAAATGTACCAATAAACTTAATGAGGAAAAAAAAAAAGCTTGGCTGACCTTGAGTAAGTAGCTACAATGCTTGTTTTAGGCAATACATGTAACTTCTGTGAAATTCCTAATACTGTGTTATATTTTTTAGGCAGTACATGTAACTTCTGTGAAATTCCTTATACTGTGTTATATTTTCCTCTCACTATTATAAAATTCAAAAGTCAACACTTAAAAATCAATGTATATCACTATCAGTAGTGATTGACAGGTAGCATAATGTTTTTTATTGAACATCTGTCCTTTGCTTTTTCCTTTTTCTCTTTTCCTGTCTTGTATGGGCTTAATTAAGTGGGGGTTTTGTTTGTTCATTCTGTGTTTTGCGATGCTGGAAATCAAACCTGGGGCTTCTCATATGCTAGGCAGACACTCTACTACTGATCTAAACCTTTACTTCCTGAGTAGTTTTTTTTTGTTTGTTTGTTCATTTATTGGTACATTTTAGATGTACAATACAGTTACATTCATCATTGGTACCTTGTACCTTATATGACTTACCTTGGTTCCTATTTTTCCCCATTCCCCAGCCCTCCCTTCACCCCCTCCACCTGTCCTTGTCCACAGAGACATTGTTTCCATGTTTTTCTTCCTTTTCACACATTGTTTCTTTTTCCTTTTCACCTTTCCCTTACCCCTCCAACTTCCTCTATTCTTTTTTTAGACTTTTCTTCCTATTACACAATATCAATTATACATTTTGATCCTTATTTACACTTTTAGTTTTTCATATCAGAGAAACAATTTGGTATTTACACATGTCTTATTAATTTCACTTAAGAGTACGGCCTCAATGTGCATCCACTTAGCTATAAATGCCTCTAGTTTCTTCTTCTTTATGACTGAGTAATACTCCATTTTATTTTTTTAAAAACACATCTTCTTTATCCAGTCTCCAGTTATTGGACAACTGGGCTGTTTCCAAATTTGAGCTATTACAAACTGTGCTGCTATAAACATGGGTGAGTATATATTGCTGTGGTATGATTCTTTTAATTCTTTTGGGAAGATACCCAGCAGAGGGATAGCTGGGTCAAATGGGATTTCTAATGCTAGTTCTTTGAGATACCTCCATATTGATTTCCACAGTGGTTGTACC